TATTTTTTATTTGTTACCAATATACACGCAAATGCTAACATTAATACTAATATGCACATAAGTGATACAGTTCCTCCGCAGATTAATGCGCATAGTCTTATTAATTATTCTCAGTATTTATATTCACATTAAAAAACCTACACTAACATGAATAGCAGTATTACCACTTGATACTCCAGATAATGCGATTATGCATAGTATGAACAGCGATACTGCTATTGATACCAATATTAATGCTCCTACGAATACTAATAATCACGTTCAAACCAAATACAAAAAACAGACACATCAATGTACCAAAGAATCTGTATTTTCACATACCAATAAATAATATACTCGTATACTACTATTCCAATGTTACCATAGACTATGAGACTATACACTGGTTAATATTAACACTAAGAATAAGGCAGAGACTAAGACCAAGACTAATACGAATACTAAAACTCACACTAGACATTAACACTACCATTAGTACACCTATTGTATAGACTTATATTCAGACTAATACTAACGCTGACATTGGAATTGACATTGACACTGACACCAACACTAACAGTAACACGAATCAACACGCTAGAACGCAGATACTAATACTAACACTAATGCCTAATGCACATCTGAAGACTACTGCGCGTAAACAACGAAACCATTTCCGATCAAGCATGCTGCGCGCTGTATTGGCTCTAAGGCTCCGAGAACCAAAAATCCAAAAAACCAAAAAACCAAAAATCCAAAACCTTTGTCAGGGGGGTCGAAACTTTTGGATTTTTTGGTTTTCCTAGGGTTTTTTTGGTTTTCCAACAGAAAACCAAAAAAATCCAAGGTTTTTTTGGTTTTCCAGCAGAAATCCAAAAAAATCCAAGGTTTTTTTTGGTTTTCCAGCAGAAATCCAAAAAAACACAGGTGTTTTTTGGTTTTTCACGAGAGACACAGCAGAAAAACCAAAAAAACCTTGTGTTTTTTTGGTTTTCCACCGAAAATCCAAAAAAAGCCATGGTTTCGCCAAGGCAAAGCCCAAAAAACCAAAAAAGACCTAGGAAAACCAAAAAATCCAAAAGTTTCGGGCCCCTCAGAAAGGCTTTGGATTTTTGGATTTTTGGTTTTTTGGTTTCCGCCGTCGTATCGTATGGTTTCTTTTAATGTTTCTTGCTTATGAATACAGGCATATGAATTTGAAAGCGGACATGAGTAGGCACGACGTTGTAAAGAGACATGACTTCACATCAGCCATGATAGAGAAGGTATCATCCCCGAAAATTACGCAAAACACGAATCGTATGCCAAACGCGAATCCCTGCCAAGAGAAGGTTTTGACGGTATTTACAATGGAAAAGAGGCCGAGGTAGGTCATGGGGGGGGGTGTGTCCATATATATATACATATGTATATATATATATGCATACATATACAGATATACCAGTCCCCACTGAACTGTTTCCAGGGCGAGGATTCGTAAATACTATTTTGACTCTTTCTTAAAAAAACAAACTCGAAGCCAATCCCTCAATTCTTTCGATGAATCATACTAGTCATAGTATACACCTCCGCTCTACCCAAAAACACCCAAAGCAGATCCAGCTCGGCATGCGGCGAGCCAGGCGAGAGCGGCCTGGGAAGGCGTTGCATGCTGTCTGATTTTGGCTAACATACGCTTGGGGGCTGAGTACCCTAGCCCAAAACACGTTAACCTCTTCAATCTTTTGTAGGGTTTAAAACCCCAAAAGGTTAAAGGTTACCTACTCATCTACAAAGTAAGGATACTTGCGGTAAGACCCTCGACAGCTGACGAGGCAGCAGTGCAGTCCATATGAAGCTACAGCGCAAAGGCTCAGAGTAGCTCACTGCATAACATAGTAACTCCGCAAACATGACCTATCGAAAGGCACTCCCGCTTGTCCTACAAAGCCTGCCTGAACGGACGAGATTTGAGAGTTTCCGAGAATAGGGGATCCGAAAAGAGTACCTCAAATAGTAGGATCAAAACTATAAGGACCGCAAAATAAGGTACCCCTAATTTTCGGAAACTCCCATTTCTGGACAAGCTCCAGCTGCCATGTCTCCCGGTTTAAAAGATTAGAGCAGGGCTTTGGGGCATATTGGGTTGGGCTAATGACTACTATGAGTCATCATTCCAACCCCTGTATCTAGGGCCACAAAAAAGCATAATGAAGCCCATGAAAGTAGGGATATCCCTGTAAAATGCTTATGCTGAGGTCCTTTTTGGGTCCCTAAGTATCATCCCAGGTTCCTCCAATAACGCTTAGACCTTCAATAACGCTTAGATGCAGAGTGGGTCTCCGAGCTCCAAACCACTCGCCAGAACAGCAGCATGGTCGCGGCATTGGCGAGCAAGATGCGAGACCGTGACCCTCAACCAAACACCCAAACCTAGAAACAATAAGGGGCCTTCATACTTAGAGGGTGGAATGTAAGGCTCCTTTAACGGTTGCTATAAGACTTCTACAAAGGCTGTTCTTTGAACCCAGACTCTGTTCCCTAAACCCTGCCGCCCCAGCACTCTTCTTTGGCAGGCCTCTCAAAAGTATTCTAACCTACTGGTAGCTTCTGCCTAGCTTCTGCCGTTCACTGGCTGGCAATAAGATATCCTGGCATGAACTCGTGGCACAGTACGTGGCACCACACATCCCCATCCTCGCAAACCTTTGGGTAAATTGCGGTCGCAGGCCATTCGCGTTCCTTGCTGCACTCCGCCCACTGCTGAAACCCAAACATGGACACCTCGGCGCAAGTCCGCCGGTTGTGCAGCTGCAGGGAGACAGCTGCAACCCCCCACACGCGAGATCCAACCCCCGAAGCAACTGCAAATAACTTAATCCCGGCTCGTTGTGCTGTGCGCGGACAGTGCTCTGGAAAGCTCATGCATGAATGGCTGCATCTTCTATCTTCTATCCACATACTGGACCCTTGAGGCCTTGACGCCACTTTTGTGCATCACCGCTGGTGTTCCGAGGCACTCGAGGAACAGGAGGCGCTACAGAACGGTTTGGGGCTTGGGGAAAGCACACTTTGCCACAACTGCCATAATCATGGCTTCGTGATTCTTGCTACATTACATTAGCTGGAGGACTGGGCTAGCATGCCCGGGAAAACATCGATATCATACCTGATGATCTCGGGGTCGATGCCCCCGACTCCTTTGGGTGGCGGCGTATCGCCTGCCGTGTATCCATTGACAGCTCCCGAGCCCCGCAGCCGTGCCACTCATCATTATCATGCTGCTAGGGCGTCGGGCTTAGGGCCTAGAGCTTAGCAACTTCAGCGAACGCAGGCTGCAACACAGGAGGCGACGACAGCAGCAAAACGGCGGGATTGCCAATAGGGCAGTCCCTGACTCTCGACGTCGATCACGTAATTTCATACAGCGCAAATCTTCTTCAATCTCAAACGAACTCTGCGATAGCTAAACTCGTGTAATGACCTCCACTTACAAGCGACTACATGAACTCAGTGAATATGCCATAGGACTAGCGGCCTTCTTATGGAAACATCATGTGCATCCGGCGCTCACAAGAAATTGGAGGTGTCCGCCTTCCACGCAAGTCAACGGGCACCCAAGTCTTGATACAGGGGTCTAAACCATCGGACTATGCCGAGTCGTTAACAAAGGAAGACCCAACGTTGAACACTTGCAGTGTAAGTGTAGGGTATGTTTTTCATGAGAACAACATGCTTTTCATGAAAAACATGTCTAGGAAAAAAAGCTTCAGGTCCACAAATCTGGATGCGGCATCGGCACGGATGAGAGTAGCATTGTGGCTTGGATCGTTCTTTCAGGATCCCTTTCTCCAGCTGCCGAAACGCCAGGGTTTAGGGTTTATTGCGCAAGACAGTTGTGCAAGAGCTTCTGACATGCGACCGGTCGCCCGGTTAGTCCCTGAGGCCATTCAGGCCAAGTCGAACCAGCCCAGACCAGCCGCAGAAGAACTACAAGCAGCCAAAACTTCCAGGCGCTTCAATTCACCATCGACAATTCCACTGGCTTGTCCAGTATCCCAGGGGAGCTGACGCTTTATCTTTCGGATTGCTTTTGCGATTATACGTACTTAGTATCCCAAAACAGCTCTAAAAGATACCTAAATCTACTGCTGAGTTCAGCTCAGAGTCTATAGGGTGTCCCTTCTGCTGGCTTTCTACTTGTCGGGTATCATGGGGAACTAAAGGTTAACCTTTTTGGCTACATCGGGATTCTATAGGACTATACTACCCAAAAAAAGGTTAAAGGTGACCTACTCTACTACTTGGGTTTTCTTGATTCTGATAGTGCTTCTCAGTGTTTACGTTCTCACAACTCGGACAAGCCAGGCGAGGTTCAGCAGCTGCGAGTCGGTGGGTTTTTTTCCATCCAACTTAGCAAGGACGAGGCCCGCATTGTAGGATAGCTCCAAGCGAGTCCGTGTTTAGGGTTTAGGCTTTAGGCTGTAGGAGTCTGCTCTACGAACCATATTCTGCAGATGGTACCAGTACATAGTGGATAGACATTGACTCTCGCAACTCGCACACGGCAGGCCGGCATTAGACATAGACCTCTGAATAGGTCTTGAGTTCGTAGTCCGTTCAGCACGTAACTACCCTGAACTGCTTCAGCTGTTGCGTTTTATCTGCGCGTACAATGCGCTGCAGCTTTCAGCTCTGCTCTTCGAACAGCAGCTGCAGCACGTCTGAATTTGCAGGTCGGGGCCGACAGTTAAAACCATGGGAGAGCCAGCGCGAGAACCGCAGCAAAGTGGGCACTTTCGGGGCCTAAACGACAAGACTGGGGTCTTGGGAGTTCCTTATTATATTTATAGTTTGAAATATCCTCAAACCCTACTATTCTAATCATTGAGACCCCTACAGCCTACAAAACGTGCCCTGGAAAAATGGCCCTCTGCAAGTGGCTCCGTGATCACCAACATGAGACTTTCCTGCTGACTCTTCCGGGCCGCAACATGATGCACGGAACGATTCGGTGAGAAGGTACCCTTCAGTCCTGCCGTTCACGGAACGCAGCGCATGCAAGCACGCGTGGACAACTTGCGCGTCCAGTTGGGATCGAGGAAGGCAGCTTTCCAGAGCAGGGCAGAGGCTGCCAACAGCGACAGCAAGACCAGAAGAGGAAGGGTACAGCATCCCTTCATCAGCAGTTCAGATACGGCCCCCCAGAAAATGGACTGGGCCAAGGCGGAGCAGAAACTAATGAAAGGGCCGACGAGGAGGGTCAGTAGCCATCTCAAGGGCCCGCCTCCGTGGGGGCTAATGGCATTGACAAGCCAAATGTTTCCGGGGCAGGACAATGGCAGCAGAACCACCCAGATGTACGCATACAACATCAAGACCAAGAGCCAATACTGCGTGATAGAGCCCAGGCCGTACAGCTTTGGAAGCACTGCACAACCAGCTTGCTCACACTGGAGGTATTCAAACTCAATCAAGAAGAACAAGTGTGGCAGGAAGGATAGTATGGCCAGATTCCATCGGAACTGCGAGGGGCCCCCCAAATCAGCGATGATCTGGCTGCAAAGCTCTGTTCTGACGTATTCGTTGAACATGACCAAACCTAGCTCATGGTTCGGATAGTATTCAAACTCCAAGTCTTCATTCCCTACTGGGTTTAAGTACCCATAAACATGTAAAATGCTACCATTACCCAACTTTGACGGTTTAGGGCTTAGGGTTTAGGGTTTAGTTAGGGTTTAGGGTTTAGTTAGGGTTTAGGGCCAAGAAACACTCCTCTTGGCTTGGGTAGCTGGTAATCCCACGCAGTCTCGGGGAGCTCCGGAGGAGCTCAACCTGCTCGCTCGGCTCGCGGGCGACGTCCGAGGTCCTTCTTTAAGGTTTAGGGATTAGGGTTTAGGGGTTTAGGGTTTAGGGGTTTACGCTCTCACAACTCGGACACAGCCAGGCGAGGTTCTTAGGTGCGAGGTCGGTGTGAAAAGTGAACTACGTGCGATTCTCTGATGTGCCAGGGGTTTAGGGTTTAGGGTTTAGGGTTTAGTGTTCTTGGAGGCTCAAGGGCATATGGGAGTTTCCGAAAAGTAGGGGTACCTTACTTTGCGGTCCTTGTAATAAGGATCCTATTATTTAGGTTACCATATTAGGGTCCCCTATTTTCGGAAACTCCCATATGAAGGGTCATAGGTAGTTATAAGTCCCCGAATGTGGGTTATAAGTATGGTTGCCAAACTTTGAACCCCACTTACAACTTCGGATGAACCTCCAAGCATATGTCATCTGTTCTAAAAAAAACATGTTTAAGACTAAGGGTATTCATGTTCTATGGCAATCAACGACAATAATTTCTCGTTGAAGATATCTGTGATAGAACCGATGCCATTCTTGACAAGTTTCAAGGGCTCGCCGAAACTCTCTGGAGCCCCAAACTCAACGCTGATCGGCATTTCGTCTATGCCGTCAAACAAGCGGGCGATCTGGTCATAGAGGGCCGGCCGATCGTCAGACACGGTACACTGCGCATTTCGCACATCGAAGTTGGAAAAGTGCTCCAGCATGATGTTGTTCTGCCTGGCCTTGTAAGTGAAAGCCAAGGCGGCCACAGTATGCTCGGGCGTCTGGCAAACAAAGATGGGAATAAAACCCACCATGGCATGTGCTATGAAGTCGAAGGCTGTCCTCGTAGTCATCAAATAGCTGACCACGAAGCTTTGCTCAACGGTGTCGTTGATCGTCATGTACCATGGCCATACAAAGCGAACGCCAAACCACGCCTAATGCATTCTGCAAATTGAGGGGGCTTAAGAGATGTCATCTGCTTGTCGGGCGCAGAAGCACAAGGCCGAAAATAAATACCAGAACACAACGCCTAGAGTCGGTCAGCAAGCTGGACAGAAGCCACACAGCCATCCAGCGGCTCAATATTCGTATTCCGCCAGGATTAGGATGGCTTCTCGCAAAAGTGGCGATTTCCTGGGCCCGCGGAACCATATATTTCCAATGCTGCATGTTTTGGCAAGTTCAACAGCGAAACCATGTGCTTGCAAACAGCCCGAGTAGCTAAGTTGCACCAGAGTCGAGAAAAGTAGGTCTCGTCCCAAAGCACCAGCACGCGGGCAGATTGCTTCAGAAAGTCGGGTAGGGCTGCTATGGCTTGCTGCTTTTCATCAAGTTCTACCTGGTAAATGCAGGCCTTGTCGAGCCAGACTGTAGATGTAGGCTGTTCTTGGGCCACTAAGTGGCCAAAGAAGAACAACGTGAAAAAAACGACCATCGGTAAGTCAACTGTCAGGGGCAGCACCCACACGCTCGTTGCCAAGGCGTCTTGAGCATAGTGAGATTGATCGCCTGCAGGCACCAGGCTGCTAGACAGATAACGGAGCGCTTGCCAAAACGCCGCTGTTTTCGTGATTTTGGTCTTCCATCCTGGCCTGCAGCTGAGAGATAGAGCGACATCGAACTGAGCAGAAATGTCGCCACGCTGGCTACAGCAGCCCGACCCAGGTTATAGTCGAAGCACAGGGCAAAGCACTTCAACCTGGACAACGACTGCCCTCCAGACGAGGACTTGACATTATCGGGAAGACGGGATGCTGCATGCGGTCGACTCGAAGCCTGTCGAACACCTGCATACACACATACATACATACATACATACATACATACATACATACATACATACATACATACATACATACATACATACATACATATATATATATATATACATGTATAAATAACTAGATATATGTTAATGTATGTGTATATATATATATATGTATATGTATGTATGTATGTATGCATGTATGTATGTATGTATGTATGATTATGAATGTATGTATGTATGTATGTGCTTGTGTGTGTGCGTATATGTACTATACGTGTGCGTGTGTGCACATATGCATCGAATGCTCATGCGTACATACCTGCATGCATAGCTGCGGGATGCTGCGGGCAGACAAACGGTTGGGGAAGAGGTGGCGGCCTGGAGGGGGTACTTAAAGGATCATGGGACTTAGTAACTAGGGTTATGATTAGGATAACTATACTTATAACCGCAGTTAAGGTACTTATAACCTTACTTACTGAGTCCCATGATCCTCCAAGTAAGGGGTGGCTTGGACCGGGCCATTGAGGCATATTGAGGCTGGGGGCGGGCGGGGAGCCACTTACAAAGAATCGTGTATACACTCACACAATCTCACATATACATAATAGGAGCCGTCTTAAGTACCAATAATTACTATTTTGGGGTTCCTTATTAGAATTATAGTATAGTCGGCCCCAAAACCCCATTCTAATGACTAAGGCCCCCCTATTACACAGTCTCGCAGTGAGTCAAGGGAAACAATGACCCGATGCAACACGCAAGCTCTGCACAAGCTCTCTCTGCGAGAGGTGCCATGGTCCGGAGTGCCAGGAATGGCTGATGAAAGCATCCACCTGATCCGTCTCCCATGTGCTCCTGTGAAAGGCCTTAGCCCACATCCACGTTTTTGAACCCATGATGACGTCATGTACGGTGGTAGTTGAATAGAATAAGGTCTGGTGGAAGCCCAGTGAATAAACGTGTGTTGTTTAAGCTTGTTTTGGCCTCCATAGAACCGGGTTTAAGCACCTTCCGGCGCCAAGCTTTGAGTAGCACACATCTAAGGCTGCAGGTTCTGTTCCACTGGCTGCTCCTCTCTTCTTGGAGGATCATGGGACTTAGTAAGTAAGGTTATAAGTACCTGAACTGGGGTTATAAGTATAGTTACCCAAGTATAACCCTTTTTACCAAGTCCCATGATCATTGAAGTTTCCTCACAAACTCAAAGCTGACCCTGGCGGGACTCTCAAACCGAGAGAGGGTTGCGACTCGCACACTCGCTCGACGCAGGCACGGCTTCATGAGGTCTTTCTTGGGTTCAGAGTTTAGGGGCAACCTCCTCCTCCTCCTACTACTGCTACTACTACTGCTACTACTGCTTCTACTACTACTACTTCTACTACTACTTCTACTACTACTTTTTTCTACTACTACTTCTGCTACTACTTCTGCTACTAAACCCCTAGCAGAACGTTTCTTCGGCTTTCGCTTTCGAGGAGAGGCCCTTGACCCCTCCGTTTCGGCTCCGTCCTCCTCTGTCTGATGCTTAGAAGGGAATGGGTTAGGCACGGCCCCCATACAGTAAGAGTCTCTAACAGGGCTACTATTAAGGTCCTACTGTATCTATATTATGAATATTATTCAACTATTACTGAGTGGGGGCCGTACCTAGGGAATGGGGGAATGGATCCCTACTGAGCAGGGTTCCTTTAAGGGATCTATAAGGGTACTAAGGGATCTATAAGGGTACTGTAAGGGATCTATAAGGGTACTATAACGGTTAGAGTTGAGGGGGAATGGATCCCTATAGTAGTCCCTATATCACCCCCAATAATAGTCTCCATAATCCATTCCCCCGGGCCCCATTCCCTACTAAGAACCAGACAATCTGTCCTTCGGAATGTCATGGGGCCGGAAAGCAAAGGGACGTGTCTAGACACGCGGCCACTTTGCTGTTGCAGTGGAAGCTGCTGTTAGAATTGTTAGAACGATTCCCAGACACTCCAATAGCCCTCAATTAAGGAATACACCTTAAGTTATAGTAGGATCCCTAATGTGACTTCAGGAATATTAAGGGATATTGGAGTCTCTGGATTCGTCTTGCATGCCAAGTAGATGTGTCACATGGAAACATGACCAACGTCAAGGGCAGCAAGTGCATCAGGAGTGGAGGAAATGTCTTTTCAGCAGGTCCATCTACTTCGAACCTCAGCAACGACCCAACCACTGGCTTTGTTTGGAGGGAAGGCCTCTGTGGCAACACAGCCAAACAGCTGTCGACCTAGATGGGTAGAGTAGGTCAACCCGCAGATGAATCAGATGTATCAGTTATGCTGTCGGCTGTGTGGGTTGTTGACTTCTAGGAAGGGGACTGTGCGGTACACACTTTCGATTTGCCGTGTCGTGTGTTGAGACTGTTGAGAACAGCCTGGTTGCAGCGTGCAAGGCCGACTAATGAGCTGAGGCACCTCCGTCGTCCATGGGACTGTAGGCATGTCCAGCAGCACTGCCATAGCCTGATTCAACCTTACTTCGATCTTGGCCGTTGAAAGAAACCGCGTTGCATGGATGAGTTCAGTTCGCTGTCGACTAACGCACAAAGCGTCCCAAATCCATCCAGCGACGTAGTAGCTCGAAACAGTCCCGGCGGGATCCGAGCCATAAGTCCGGGCATCCCGGGCTTCGCCGCACTAGACGGGAGTTTCCGAAAAAAAGGGGTCCTGATATAGCACCCTGAACAGTAGGATCCTTATTGTCAGGACCCCAGAATAATAAGGTAAGCCTAATTTTCGGAAACTCCCGGACAAAGAGAAGTGGAACGATGAGCAGAAGATGTTCTTCTGCAGCTGAGCAGGTGTTAAATCACGGCTGAATCAGTTTGTTAATTTATATGCACCTGGATCCGTTACTAGTAACACTAGTAACTAGCAGACGGTATTGAAAGTAAAGTGCCAAGGAAAGCGACATCTTGCTATTTGGAGTCCTTCCAATGCGCGCAGAGCCGTCCCAGCTTTGGATGTAATCAACGATTCCTCTGCGACACTAGGATGTTGGATGGTCTTGCACTTCAAGCTGAATCTATTCTAGATAATGGGCAACAAGCATTTCACGGAGGTGATGTTGCGTGATGAAACCAATTGTGTAGGGTGACGTAAGTCATGGTCTGGGGTCTGGAAGACAGTACATACTGTAACCAATGATTTCTACTACAATGGCGATACCGGTGATATCCGGTGATAAGCGTGACAGACAACAAAGAGCGAGTTCAAGAGCAGCAATAGGATCGGCTGGAAACTCGTGGAGGAGTGGTGGGATTTACGACATGTGCAGCAACGAAGCTCACGTTGCATCAAGAGTGTGATCGGAACCGGTTCACACCAAGTCGAGACATGATTAATGCCTTCCGACCATAAGGCTCCCCTAAGGTTCAGGGCTGCCGGTGGCTTGTAAAGAGGGGAGCAAAGGATGTCAAAGCAGTTGAGAAGATGTCAGGGACAACTGCAGGTTTCATGTCTCCGAATCTGCAGAGCATGATGCTGGTGTATGCCTGCAACCTTGGACTTCATGCCAAGGCTGCTAAGGCGCGTCGTGACATCCTTCGGATCCACACAACTCGACACATTTGCTGACCCGAAATCGAGCCCCTGCGCAGGCTTCTCCTGTGGCAAGTGGTCGATGCCGGGCAAACAGCCTCGGGCTTAGCCGCCGAAGGACGGCCCCTAACCCTGACCGAAGTTTGTCGGCTGCATACCCATGTTAATGGCCGCCTCATTCAGTTCCTGCTTGCTCAAGCCTTTCTTCTCCATCAATTTGCGCTCCTCAGCTGCGACCTCCTTTCTCAAGTTCCGTCGCCACTGGGAGTTCTCCAGCTTCGTGACCAGCACGGAACCAAAGACCATGGAAAGCAACAGCATGATCGGAACGAGCCACCAAATTTGACCATCTTTCTCCAACTCATCACGCCGGCTGTAGACGTTTGCTCCAACGGCCAAGACCAAGATCAAGACAGGCGTGGAAGTGATACCTCCTGTGAAGGTGCCCCAAATGGTCACCTCTTTCACGGGCTCTGTCGTCTCCGCTGGCTCCGCAGGTTCTGCGGCCTTGGGCTTCTCCTTCACATCCACGTCGTCCTTCGGGTCTACTAGCCGCGTCTTGGCTTCGGATGATTCCGCCATGTCTTGAGCCCTAACCTTGAGCAGTACAAAGCCATGTAAATGCTGTTCATGCTCTCAGCACATTCGGAATCGAGCTTACTTTCACTGTCTCCCGCCCGATGCTCACGCAATCAAGCGCTGGCATGCAAGAGCATATCATGACCAAAAAGTCTTACCGCACGAGCTGGAAAGAAAAGCAGAATGGCACTGAATCATAGGTCAACAACCTCAACACTAACACCACCACCGTCACTGCCACCACCGCCGTCACCACCACCACCATCATCACCACCAAACGAGAAGCGTCAGCACCATGATGGCGACCACGCCGCCGGCGACGACGACAGCGACAACGACAACGACACGGACAGCGACAGCCGACTGCGAAGCAACAACGCCATGATGGTCATCATTTCGATGGACCCTTTGTAGGTCGAATGCGAGGAAGACGAGGAGGAATACAGGTCGTGTCGTGGTGGTGCTGGCGGCAGTGAAATGCTGTAGCAGACACAAATGCAAGTGTCACATAATCGCAATAAGAGCCCGCAAAGCAATAGTACATAGTCTTGCGTGAATCAGAACTGTTGCTGAAGCCACCGGGTCTAGACCGGTGGTCCTACTGACAATCCAGCGCCCTACTGACCTAAGCTAGGCCAACCGAGCCGATCACATGAACCGCCCTCTACAAGCAACAAGAAAGACAGAAGTAATAGTAATAGTACTAATAATGTGTCAAAAGCGAAAGCTCGTAAATAGAATCTATGACGTGGGATGTGGGATTTGCAGCTCGGTTGAACAGCAGCCTGGGACGGATCGTATGGCTCCGCCCCAGCTCCAGCAGACCTCGCGAGGAAACTTCTGCAGCTTGGGGTTTACCCTAACTTCCGCAGCTTGGGGTTTACGCTCTCACAACTCGGACTTGCCAGACGAGGTTCTCGGTGCGGGGTCGGCGTGAAACTAGATAGGGTGGAGTGCTCCCGTCACAAGGGTTTAGGGTCTTAAGGGTTTAGCATTCAAAGTGTCTTTATAAATTCAACCGCTTGGATGTAGAAACCTCCCCGACTGAGGCAGCATATGAACTAAGGAATTTCATGAGCCACTCATCAGACAAACTATAGTGAGCCGCAGAGTACATGCTCTTGAAGATGCCTCTCCAAACCAATCCGGCAAACCGTGACAGTCTCTATCACTCTCTCACTCTCTCTCGCTCGCGCTCTCGGGCAAAAGCCACCGCAACAACACATGCACAGCCACAAACATCCGCTTACCAGCATTCGCCTCAGGCCTGAAACGGAGCTTAGCAACCCACTTTACGGGAGCTGCACTGCACATCACTGTACTCTAGACAGTTCAACATGTTCAACTTGGTATTTTCCAAGCCGAGCTACGAAAATCCGCGAAAGCACAAAAAGTAAAGCCCTAAAACACACGCGAACCAAGCCTGCAAGCCAAGCGAAAGTCTCAGAGACTACTAGACACAAGACCCTACAAAACAGAAACCTAGGAAAGCCCTCACATGTGGGCAGACTTCACTTGCAAGCATGAGGACGAGGAAACATCGAGTCACCAGCACGCTATCATGCGACTCAGAAACGTTCAGAAGAAGGGCTGAAAACCCCAAACCCTGAATCCTAATGGGATCCCTTAACCCTTAATCTCATATTAACCTCTGCTTGCAAGCTCAAAGAACCCTTACAGAACCTGTATGGGGAACATCGAAGCTCTTGCGAGAGAGTCATAAACAGGCTTTGATAAGTAGAATGACGCTGTATAGGGATCCCTTCCAAGGTTCCGTCAGGATTACTTTTCGGGCGTAGTATTGGGGCCACAAGGAATACTACTGGTAATTACTCAGACATCCATCTTATCCGATCTTACTGAAGAACGTCCACTTGCCCTTGTACGGGGTTTGACACCCAGAGCTGTCACCATTTGGACGATAAAACTCGGACGGGAAGGCAAGGTGTAGGGCACCTGGAAGCAAACCATCCCGCTCACATTTCTTTCGGCACCCAAGACGCTTGAGAGTATGTAAGTTCGAAACCGCATGACACGCCGAGCCCAAAGCCCTCCACTAAGCCGCCAAAGGGGCCCAAAGTGGTGGCGCGAAGCCGACTACCCGTTAACATCAACCCTTCAACGCATCTCTGAGGTCCAGGGCCCATCCTCCAAGCCTGCCATGAATGGCTACTTGGAGGATCATGGGACTTAGTAAGTAAGGTTAATTATAGGTACCTTGATTGGGGGTTTGCAGTATAGTTATATACCCTAGTTTTAACCCTACTTACTAAGTCCCATGATCCTTAAGTAGGTCACGCTGGGCTCTGAGAGCTTCGGAAGAGCAAGGCAGTCTGCAACAACACAAGGGTTCCCATTGCAACATCCTCATTGCAAAGACCAACAGACTCCTGAAGCAGAACTTTCACATTTTGAACTGACATTGGGCTTGGAGGAAGTACCGGAAATCCAGGGTGTGTTAACATCGCTGGGGTCAAGGTCACATCCTGTTCGAGTACCTACACGAACTCGTAGATTTGAACTGGTGGTGGTGTTCATCGCGGCGAAACAGCGAGGATGAGGATTTGAGGATGCGGCATGAGGGAAGATGAAGACGACTGATGCTGGTTCTGGTGCTGCTGCAGGTGGCGGTGCTGGTGGCGGCTCTCACTATTTTGTTGATCGTAAACGTATCTCCTGCTAATGCAGCGTCCACAAATCATGCTATTATTCCACTGCTGTCGTCTTCTGACTGGTCAAGTTGAACCTGAAACTGGTGTTGGTATGGAAGCTGACGTCCTGCTGACGTCCTGCCGGTGCTACCGAGGAGGTTTGGTTATGACGACAACGACGGCGTCGATGACGACGACAACATTCAAGACAAATCAAATAATGATGATAGTCGGGATGCTGCACGTGACTGGTAGCGATGCAGCTGAAGGTTGGATACGAAGTAGCAAGAAATGAAAACGACGACGACAGCGCATGCGACAGTGAGAATGCTGGCTAGTGGTGGCAAAGATGATGATGGTGGTGGTGAGCAAACAGCGATGAAGCTACTTGTACTTGAGAGTATGCCATCAATGATGGTGAAACGTGCTAATGTGATGATGACAGTAGTGGTGGTGATAATGATGACGATGACGACCGCAACACTGGATCGCACTTGGTTGGTCCTGCTACATATAATACTGCCAACAACCAGGGTGCTGCTACCAACTGCCAAAAGCCAAGACCCTGCCCTAGTTATGTACCGGCCCCGGCAGCAAACGTGCAGAGTGCGCTCAGGCTGCCGCCACCGGAGCCTGAATTGGCACGGAGGTGATCATGTCTCAGGTTCTCTGCAATTTTTTCCCTCCTACCTAGCAACTTCAGGGTTCAACTATGTCAGCGCTGCATCCGGCCGCCAATCCCCCATTCAAGGGATGCTAATATAGGGGCCTTGACATTAGAGTGGGGTTTTGAGGTACATTACACTATCATCATACTAAGGAACCCCAAAATAGTATAGGTTGTTATTGAGGCCCCTCTCAGACCCGGCTCTGCGCGCAGAAGCTGGAGCAACCCTAGACCCTGAACCCTTTTTTGCATCCAGCCTACACAGCCTCTGCTGGGAAGTAAATGAGCGCCTAAAGCAAACCTTCAGGTCTGAAAAATAAAGCCTGATAGTATTGGTGATTATTTAGGCCCCTATAGTACGACGTAGCAGCCCTGGGTTGGATTCGAAAGACGAGACGCAGAGAGAAGAAAAGTGGGTTGCGAGCTTCTGTCCCAAGGAATCCCGAAAAGACAGGTTTATAAGGTTTAGGGCTTATTGGGGTCATGCCACTTGACATCTCGGAACTTCGATACCCCGAACGGCAGCTGAGCAAGAGACCCATCATCTCTTGGAGGGTCGCCATGCGGGAGATCACATGCAGGTAGGCCTCAAAACAGGACACGCCGTTACTGTCATCGTTGCTACAGTCTGCTACAGTATCACCACCATCATCAGGATATCCCTCTACTGACTCTACTGCGAACAGAAGAACATCATGATGTAAACGGCAGCAATCCGGGGAGCATTAGACGAGGGTTCTAGGGCGATTGCCGTGGAGCTAGATCGGGGCTGTGAAGATCCACAGTGCTAACAACTGGTCGGTCTAAGTGCGAACACGTCGATATTGGAAACCGCCAGGACGCATTTTTCTCTCCATGTCGCAAAACGACGCCTGCAGAGATCTCCATCAGCCCCAGTCTATCGCGCGAGCTATGTTGGCTTGGGGCTCCTCCCGAGCACTCCGAGCCTCGACACCCCTTCGAGGTGCTTAGACGATAACTGGTGAATCAGAAGAAAGTACCGGGAGGCTCTGGTTTCCACAGGGTTGCGTTGGGGTGGCACCCTCCGGGCAGCAGAACGGACCCGTTCCATCAATCAGGACAGAGGTTGGCTTGTGAAGGAAGCCAGGGCAGCCAATCGCTGGAATGAGTGGTGCATTGCAGCAGGCATGCTTGGGCATGTCCGTCGGGGCATACAGGTCCAAGGTGCATGAGATAGGACCCAAGCCGTGAGTTACGGTGTCGAAGTAGTCCGTGTACTGCTTGTCGTTGAGAGGGGTCCACTGCTTGCTGCAAGGATGCTCCTCCGTGGCAATGGTCAAGTTGGCCTCGAACTTGTGAAACAAGTTGAAGTTCTTTGGGTCCATGCAGGCCTCGCCACAGTAGCCATGCTTCGCATCTGTGCTGAAGACCTTCACCTTCGGCAGCTCACAAGACTTGCAACAAGGGCTGGGGTCTGCTGCAGCCACAGCCAAGGAGGCAAGTACCAGCTGCCAAGTAGAGCGAGCCATTGCCAGGATCTGAAACAGGAGCCAATTGAGCCGAGAGCTTCGGTCTGCGGGCCGATCACCAACAAAGCAACCATCACCACCATCATCGTCGCTTTCATCTCCATCGGTCGGTCCATCCATCCATCCAGCCATCTTAGTTTTCAGACGTTGGCACCACTACGATTTCCCGGCTCGTACTTTGCCGCTTTGCCCCTCTGCCTTACGCACGAGAACTCACTGTCAGCATAGTAAGTTCAGTGTATGCTTAATGTTCGACCTGAAAGATGCTCGCCTGTCATGTCACAAATCATGAACCTGAACCTCATGATCACCTCGTGGCTAAACGCGACCATCCAGCGCATCACCACTATCTTCATCATGTCACCGCCATCGCCACCAGCCTCAAAGTCTTTAGATCCTCACTATACTCATGATTCGGCTGACCTTTGAACAAATATGTTGTGCTGAGCTTTGCATTCAACCCCGCATCCTGGACCCAGAGAGGTGAAGCTGCTACCCACACTGTAGCGAACTCACAAAGCTTTGATGAGTGAGTACTTGCCAAGATCCCGTGTTCCCCGACGGCCTTGTCAGGTCGTGCATCGTGCTGGAAGCTGTGGTATCCCGGAGATGCAAACAGTTTACCGAAGCCGAAACAGTCCGGCTGTGAGCCGAGCAGAAACGCAGCCGATCGCGCCGCCGCTGATGATGATCTCAGGTTTGATTAGTTATACAAGCACTGGGTGCTGGGCGCAGGTCAGGTACAGGTTACGCAGGACAACTGCTTCAATGTTCGGAGTTGTCGCAAGAATCACGACACGAGCGGCCGTGCTGAAGGCTCTGCGGACGTAATACCCAATGCGTCCCCCTATGAACCCCCTTGCTGGTAAATCACCTGAGCAGGTGGAACGCTAAGGCCACAACAGCTTTGTCGGGGGAGACCCCCTCCGTATCCCGCACGTCCACGTCCGTGCCCGTCGCAGCTGCGCAAGCGAGAGCTTTGCTGTCGTCTCGGAACTACAGCTACTTGACGATTCTAGGCCAGAACTCCTTGAACTGTGTCATCAGTACGGCATCAGTCACCTCACCTTCCTGTTAACCATGGTGACTGAGATTGCAGTTTAAAGATCCCTCACGAACCGCGGGTAAATCGGATTGGATGTCGACCGGTGCGCTAACCAAGTGGTCATGAGAGCCCGTGCATAGAAAGACAGAAAGAGCAAAGATCCAAAATTTCATGGGTGAAGTCTTGTATTGTAGAATGCTTTGAAGCTTTAGCTCCGCCGGAACGGCTTCGTAACACTCGCTGCAAGACATAGACCTATAGACGTAGATATCACACACTCACCACTTTGCACGATACTCCGAAGCTGAGAGCCTCTTCCATCAAGGGTTGCGACACCACGCAAAGGCAAACAGAAAGTGCTGCCTTCTCTAAAACATTTTTGACACCACATCAAACGCCTCATAAGTTTCTGTATCTCTGTCGATATTCTACAAGGGCCATCACCCGACAAGCCATTGCGGAGCGTCAACGATGCCGACGACAAGTCCCACCACATGGCATTTGGCAGTCGAGCTCGCTACATCTAAACATGCCCACAAGGACAGCACGACCATAGCCGCCAGGGATCCTTTCAAGTGAACGATAATACAAACATTTTTGACCCACTAGCTTGACCGTGTCCTAGAATCCGTCCCGCTGGCCGAGCTGCAGGGATGTCTTTGGCTTCGGCATAGTGAGGCATCCGGGCTACGATACTTCTGCCAACCGATGGCAGCAGGCTGCACCCTCGTAGGTCTTACAACCAGCAACCACAAACCCCGAACCATCCTTGACACCGAGACCCTTGAACATGGTAAGCCTCATGGTAACCCGCATAGTCAGCCACAAAGGAACTGAGTCGTCCTTTAAGCCCTTTGAAAATTAGTTACTATTGTGGTTCTCTATAAAATAGTAGGGGAAATTAGAAAAGATCCTAAAGGACAACCCAGGAAGAATGATAAAAAAACCTTAAACCCTAAACCCTAAACCCTAAAAAAGTTTCAGGCCTCCGATCTCCTGCAGTCCTGTTCCATTCTTGCCCACCACGCCGGCGACCTCAAAGCACGGCACTTTGCATTTTAGGGGTTCCTTTAAAGGATTTTGCATTTTAGGGGTTCCTTTAAGGGATTTTGGGTTTTAGGGGTTCCTTTAAGGGATTTTGGGTTTTAGGGGTTCCTTTAAGGAATCTATAGGGGATCGGAATGAAGACCACAGGATAGAAGCTTCAGGAGAAGCACAGGTGGTCGCAGTAGTAGTAACAGAAGCAGTGGCAGTAGTAGCGACAGATGCAGTAGCAGCAGTGGCAGTGGTAGTGGCAGTCGCAGTGGCAGTCGCAGTACCAGTACCAGTCGCGGTCGCAGTCGCAGTAGCAGTAGCAGCAGCAGATTCAGTACCAAAGGTTCTACAAGATGGAACTATTGAAAACTAAATCTTCAACTACCCTTATGCCGGGAACAATCTCCGACCGGGAACGAACTCCGAAGCCCGAGGTCCTTTACCACGGGGACCCAAAGAAGGGCACAGAAGCCCGGCGATCCTGCAAATCTTGCTTGGAGGATCGTGGGACTTAGTGAGTAAGGCTATAAGTACCTTAGTTGTGGTTATAAGTATAGTTACCCTAATTATAACCATAGTTACCAAGACCCATGATCCTTTAAGTGTGCTTCATACAGACCACCTTACAGGAGGTGGGCTGGGACACCGCATCCCCTCAAGGTGGGAGCCTCTTAGTTTCTACGCTCCTCGTCGCGCCATGAGTTTAGACTCAGCTCCTGGCCAGGTGCGACGGGCAGGAGCACTGGAGCATCTGAGATCTGTCCTCGGAAGTGCTTAGAAAGCTGGGACCTCTTTGCTTGCTGATATAGGGCCTGAAGAAGTACGCATAATAAGATACAGGGCACTTGATATCACAAGGTGCCCCCAGGGCCTATTCAACCTAGTCGATTTTTTGCGGCCCCTCGGGCTCTGATCCGCGGTAACTTCGATGCACTTTGCTCAATGCCCAGGTCCTGCTGAGATTCTTTGCTAGCCACACGAGAACTGATGGTCTGGGCTGCTTGCTTAATAAAGGAGCCTTAGTAAAGAGAACGGGGTTGTGGGGTGTATTATACATGAATATGCATGAAATAAGGACCCCCCTAAATTTTACAGGTAATTTTTCAAACCCCTGTGTTACACTGGATACGTGCATGAATGCGTGTCATTGCAGTCTTTTCCGAGTATCACGATGAGAGAATCACTCCCGCAGCAACAGGCATGCAATGCTAGCTGCACTCATGTATACATTTGGCCATAAAGTCGTCCTTATTTAGGTGCTTTATGGCCAAACTACATGCTACATTGCTACATGGGTACATGAGCTGGCAGTTCTGGGCTGCAAACTGCGGGATCCGCGAGCCGGTCGGGGACCGCCGACACGGCAGCTGCGGCCACAGAAGCTTGACGCAAGCTTC